GTATTCAACTATGGCCTTGAAACTAGTACCATTGTCATCCAGGAAATAGTATTCAACACCAGCTCGTCCTCCTGGCACTTTTGGGTCTTCTATTATGGTACTATGCATGTTAATTAGCCAACCAGTCCTTGGCTTTCCGGCTTCAAACCGTGGAAATCCCATTGCCTCGTCAATGCTATTTGCCAGCCTAACTGCCTGATACTTCTCATCTTGTGACGTTGCTTCGCTTGACCTGAGGGAAGTGGATTCGACAGTTTTCGCGCGCTTTGAGTTGAACGGCGTCGAGTTCGATCTAAATTTGGTCCCATACTTGCTGGGTTTTCGTAAAGTCATATCTGCAGCGTTCTATCCCTCGTATATCGCTGGGGAAAAGAGAATGAAACGGCCGGATGATGTTGCAATACACAAATAAATTAAAACTCCATTGAAAATTATAAAAGAAAAGGAGAATAATAACAAAGGAAAAAATAGACGTTAACAATCATAAACGTAGTGAGGTGCGGGCGATAGGAGGCAGATCGGGGATTTTGCGTCTGTACGGGAGTACTGACTTCGATATCATTATCATAGCATTAAATGCTTGATCTCCCATATCGCGTTTCGCGTCGCGGACTAGCAAACTCAATCTGCCAATTTCTGCCAAGATCGGAATAACTAACTGCCGGGTCTGAATCGCTGCCCGGAACACAAGCAAGCGCAACTTGAAGGGCGGTTGATGGACTAATGATGATGAAATTACTCTCCAACGCCGGTCGATATGGCGGAAGACTCACGGGATACACAATCTCCAAAAAATGACACATCCAACGTCCCTCAACAATTTGCGCCCACCAAAAAACCAAAACATGAGTTCCCCAAGTCGCAGGTCGGGAAACTGTGGGAGGAGTTTGGAAACCCAGAAAAGCCCATCAATCTGATTCCCGGGGCTTATGACTCGGCAGGCGGAAAGCCGAAGGATGTGTCATTTACAGATGCCTTCAAGGGGATGTCTTTAGATGGGTTACTATCGTTTTACAAAATCCCTTGTGCGCGCGATTCTCTCTTGGTTGGCATTGGCACCGGTTTTGGCGCCGGCAGTCTCAAAGCAGTTCTTGGTGGTAAGTGATCAGCAATGCGGCCAATAAAGCTCCTCCATTGACTGACCTCATCATGCAATGAAAATAGGATTGCGGGCAGCATGGGCCAGCGTGCAATTGGGCTGTGGGAACCTTCACCGTAACGTCGATCGCGATGTATGAATTTTGCCAGCGACGGAGAGTCCAGAACGTGACGGGATGAAG